TCACCAGTTTGCTAGTGGAAAAAAATCTTACCAGCAAAACTTTGCTAGTCGACCAAAAAGTTAACTTCAAGCCCTGTCATGTGGCACTTAAAGAAGTTCACTTGAATGTCTTGAATTGATGCAGAAAGGAGTATTCTAGAGCTTGAATTTCTCATTACAAAATTTCTTGTGAGTCCATGTATAACATTTTTATGTGTTAGACTTACTAATAAAATATGTTAAAAAATGAATTGGAAAGAGGAGCTAATATGTCTACAGTGCAATTCTTCCAGTAAAGTGAAACTTAATTTTACCTTCATTGTGCACAATCCTTCTCCTGGTCTGCTGGGCGATGCCCCCACTTTATAAAATGATTCAAATTAAAGACAATCAGTAAGATTTTTAACTCAAAATGACATGTTTGGGAATGAAAAAAACTAAACTTCATAGGGTGTTTCTTCATCACTTGAGAAAAATCAGTCTGTTATTTCAAAATAGCTGGTTTAAAATGAATATAGTGCCTTAAAATATAACTCCAAGTTGGTTCTAAGCTACATGCAGTAGATAGTTTTAACCCAAGGGTAAAATTTGATTGTGTAGTCTAATCACCTCAGTGAAGGTACTGCTAGAAATGAGATGGACTGTTTTTGGTAATGATTAGACTGTCTTGCACCACTTTGGTTTCACAGCCAATAGCACCACAGCAACACTGACCAATCAGAACATACAAACCAGAAATATCACACTTCACTGACAAAAAGTCTTCATTAGACTCTGATGAAGACTTCTGCCAGGATTGTTAAACAGTTCTTCTCGGTAATACCCTCAACCAGAAGATCATACTTTGCAATCAAATTTAGACCCCTAGTTGAGAAGGCCAGGTTTGAGGCCTATCTGTGGCACTCTGTTGTTGTCTTGGTCAATAAACTTTAAACTTACTGTACCACGACACAGTTTTTCTAAGGACAGATAACGCTATGTACTGGATAAATCTCTATCCAATAGATAGTGCAGTGCATTTTGCTATCACTTATCCACTGGATAGTGTTATCTTTCCTTTGAATGACTGGGCTCAGGAGTGTAAACTGGTACTGATAACAGCCAACTAGGAAACTTGATAGATTGTAGGGAACGTAACCCACCTTACACAAGCTTTTCTTCCAGGAAGATTTACAGTACTACTTGTCCCTTCATACCATAGGAAAATGAAAAAAAGCTAGCAGAATTGGGCTACTAGGTTCATTAGAAGTATCTTTTCCTTCACATCACTCCACAAAGGCTTTAGTAAGGTACTAAATGTATAACAAATAAATTATTGTTACAATTGGTATTCCTTACCTCAGCACTATATCTGACGACACATAGTAAGGAGTCTGGTTGCTTGTCGGAGAAGCAAATCTGTAGGAGAATACACTGGCGGGTATTGGCTTAGTTGTATTCTGAAGGATAGCAAGGTTTTTTTGAACCATGCCATTTGCTGTGGTCACTACAAAAAGGAACAATTTTAAGTGAGGTGCGTAATTATACATTTGCTACTTAAAGCATGTAAAGTACAATAAAAATAAAGAAAAGGAAGGACATTATGATGAAAATGGAGGAATTTCATTGGCAAATCAATGCAAGATGTCAGAAAGATCACACTACCTGCAGAAACAGATCCATTGACATGAAAATAATTTGTATTCATATTTTCTGCCCTTAATACTGTGGGCAGGCATAGACCACTGTAAACTCAAAGTATGTGACAAATTTTCAGTAATCAGTCGCACATGAACAAACGATTCACACATTGTGAGGTATTTTTTAATACCTAACTTGCCCAGTCGTACACAAGATGATAATAATAAATATTACACCACAAAAATTTGTCATTTAATTTTGTTAAAATAGACCAGTCTTGCAAATTACTTGATCAATTTGTGGAAGAAAGAAAACTAATTTTCTGTTTTAGGCCCATTAAGCCACATGCACATAATCCCATACCAACATTACTTCAACCAACAAGAATTTTAAATTTTTACTCATTTATAAATTTTTTTTTGGTAAATTCAACATCTGTAAATGATCAGAGGAAAATTATTTTGATTTTATGGATCCAGTGAAATCAGATTATGAAACTTTCGAAAAAAACTCCTGGAAATTTTGAAAACATGCTCAAACTAACGGCGGATTTAAAAAGTAAACATTATCCACTGAAATGAAAGACACTCAAACAGCATTGGACAAAAGTCTATTTTGGTAGCCAAATTATTCGTAGCATCTGCTGAGTTCAAACTAGAAGTTACCTAAATAATAGGACAAGAATCTGTTTCCTGACCAAACATAGCGTTATCATTATTTGATGATTTCGCGTCAGAGTCAGCTGTTTTCCTTCACTTTGCATTGATAACTAGGCAAGCGCTGCTTTGCTCTACGATGAAACATACTTAAAAATTTAGTGAAAAAGCGCCTTTCTAATGAAAATAATGGTAATTTCTAACGATGGTTGCATTTTTTAAGGATAGATCATTCGCTTACCAACTTGCGTGGCCGGTACAGTGGGAAGAAGTAGCGTGATAGGATTTTGTTGAGTTGGAGTTGTGGTTACTGAAGAAACAACATGGCCACCATTTTGAATGTTGTTGATTGCAGCAGAAGCTTCACGATTGTCGTTTGAGTTCTTGGGGATCTCAGGAATCGTCTCTAAAGTTGTAGAACTCTCGACACTTGCCATACTGACAATTTAAAATAAATAACGTTCAAATCCATACTTCAGGTCTGCCATAAACCCTCGCTAAAGAAAGAAAAAAAAAAGATGGGTTAAGGAGAAATTGATTATCTGATCAAGGAGAAAACCTAATTGTAGAGGTAAGCGACGGAAAAAATACGACGTTGACATAAATCTGTAAAGTGAATGTATAAAAAAATATTTATACGCGGGAAAGGCTAGAAAATAGTAAATTTACCACAATTTAGCTGTACAGTGATTGGGAATAAAGACAGAAACTCTGATTGAAATGTAAATTCTTTCTTCGCTTCTTAAGCTCTCGAAAGGATCTACTGTTCAAAGTTTTCTATTGGCGCATCGGACAATTTTTACCAAGGAGGGAGAGGTTAGTAAGAGTGTAAATTTCCACTACGGAAGGAGGGAGGAGTAGCTAAAATAAATTTCCTTCTCCTACTATTTTGAAAAATTTCATAGCGTTATTTTCTTTCGATTTCTTTCATCTCTCCAAAAAAGCCATTGGTAGATTAGAGTAAGTGAAAATAATGGGACGTTTTTTCTCTTAATTATTGTCACCATGTATGGTTATAATTTGCGCTACAAACTATCGTTTGGTTAAAAGGAAATGAAAAGCCATAAATTTGAAAAGACAGAGAAGTATTTCCAAAGATAATGGAAAACAAAGACCGATCAAAGGTGGAAAAGGATGAAAAAGCTTGAGGCGGATTATATACGACTTGCCCAGAAAAATTCAGGCTAAACTCTAAAGGATACGCAAATTGGAAAGTAGATTATTTAAGATGAAAATTGATGTCAGATTAACCAGCTAAGACGAATCAATCACGCATGCGTAATGAGGGACAATTACAAACCAAAATCCAATTGCTCAAAAGCCTTCGTTGACGTACTGCAATAGATCGCAATGTAAGTGTCATACTTTCTTTAATAGGGAGTGTATCAGCCGATAATTCCATCGTAGCCGCCAACTCTAACAAGCAAATTCAAGAGGGTGATTTCTTATAGAAACGATTCCGGTGAAAATGCATAGCATCAATGAGCAAATCAATTGGACGCTTTGGAGGTATCCCCAAGGACTACGTGGAAGCTATTGCCCCGACCACAGTTGTAAAGCCAATAGCTTGCATGGGGTTGGCGCGCTGAGATCCAGATCGAAAGGCCTGGGCTTGAGTTCTGGCCAAGTCAGTACGCTTAATTCTTACGGTAGACACCTAACGGCACTTTTCGATCGCGCATCGTAAAAACAAAACCAAAGTGATCAGAACAGCCAATCAGAAGAAAGGAAAATACCCTGAAGAGCCAATGTGAACTCAGAGTTTTCAAGGTTTTCAAGCTCCATCTCTGTATCGTCTGAGGAACCCAAATTTTTATAAGCTCCTTGCTTCTGCGGGTTTCTTCGCTTAATTACTCAACTCGTTTTCTAGTTATCGACAAATTTGTAAGTTAATGTAATATTGCAACCATTCTGTGATCATTGATTCACTATCTGTAATAGTTTGTGGCAAATAAATAAATAAATAAATGGAAAAAGTAAAAACAAGCAAACCCTTTAATTCGCGAGATTGAGAGATTGACGTGGGGACATAAAAGCAACGCAAAGCAAAAGCGATGCAACACATTTCCAATTCTTAGATGAAAATTGCTTTTCTCGGAGCGCCTCTCTCCACCCAAGAGTATAAATTATGGGTTACAGTAATCTCGTACTTAGATGTTACCATTTGACTGTGAATAGCCTACGAGTAACCGTGCTGTCCGCCCCAAGGAGAACTCCGACGAAGGGCTAACGTCGGAACGTCTGCTTTGAAACACTTAACAGGGGCCAATTTACGTCACCAACTAACCTGCAATGTGGTTTTGGACTCTTTATTACTAAGTTAATTGCTGAAATAATAGGTATTTGCTTGAAGCTTTCATGACAATCGATGTGTAGGTAAAACGTTTGGTTATGCTGAAATTAGTTTAGGACGCAGTTTTTCTCAACAACGACTAGGCTAGTCTTAGGGGTTCGATTTGAAGTGCATCTGTATAAATACGTGAAATCTTATGTAATACAGTCCAGACATGAGAGAAAAAATTGGCGTATTTTTTTTTCTCTGACCGAAGCTGTCCCACGAGGTACATCGTCATTCTGTCGTTAAAAATACGATAGGCCATTATCACGTGCGCACGTACTTGTTCACGCAACAACTTTCTGTCAGTGCAGAATAAATAGACTAATTCCCAGTATCTCTCTTAAGATCTTGGGATTGAAATGCTTATAACGAGAAAGTATTGCGATAGCTTAAGGCTCCTAGACGGGTGAGGGAACCAATCGGTTTTATTTCAAAATTTAAGTTCCTATAATAAAAACAATGTATTGGCAAAGTTTGACAAACATCTTAGTGCAAGTTCTATTTCAGAAGAACAATTTCATGCATTCCAAAGCACGAAAGACAGCAAACCTCTGTGAATCAGAGCTGAGTTTGAGAAATCACCACGCGGAGAGTTGATTACACCGCTGCAATATCTCTCAATAAGTTATACGTCCACATCATTAAAACTTGCGAAATATTTTACAAACTATCAGTTTTTAAGTCATTTAGAATATTCTATCATAATTCGTCGCTAGATTTTTTGCTAGAGCTGCTATCAGATGACTCTGCATTTTGTTTTGAATTATTTCCTTCTGATGAGCTAGAGCTGTCCGCGGGCTCACCAGATGTCGAGGACTCAGCCTCGGAGCCAGGTAGAGGCAGAGGCTCTGCCTCGTCCGATTCTTTTTTATCTTGTTCACTCTGTTTCTTATTTGACTCGTCAGGTTTTTCTTGTTTTCCCATACTTTCCTCCTTTTTCTTTTCATCTTCCTTCGCATTATCTTTAGATTTTTTCTCGTCCTTGTCTTTTTCATCTTCTTTTTTATCTGCACTCGCTCCTTCAGCTTTGTTGCCTTTTTCTTGTTTTTCTTTCTTAGTATCTGTTTTGGTTTTTGTCGTGTTTGACGCTGAATAGTAAAGAAAAAAATCCAAAATTTGTTTAAGTACAACAAAAAAACGGTTCTCTCCCTTAACCGTGGAGGGCGTCTCCCATTTAGAGGAATACCTTTCCATCACAGCTAAACTACCTTCCCTCCTCTCCCTGAACCTAAGCAAACAGACTTCCCTAGCCCCTGCCCTGAGTATTTGCTGAGGTTACTATTTTCCTGGTCTTTCGGTCTGTAACAAAACAATGATCACAACTAGATAAATGAAATAAACACACGAATAAAAAATAAACAGTTGAGTAAAGAGACAAATGATTTATAAAAGAATATAACTTATCAATTCTTATCAATCCTAATTCATGTTAGTTCTTTTAGCGCGTATAAATCGCACGATTGTCACGTAAAACTAGGGTAAATACCACATGATTCATACCTGTTTCGTTGACTTTTGGCTTAGGCACGTAATACTTGGCCTTGTTTAAAAGATAAACCAGCTCACGGTCGATTTTGCCTTGCTTAGTTTCGATGTCCTTTACTAGGAAGACTGGCTTATCGCTGGGTTTTGCCTCCTTTTGTTTCTTTTCGTTCTTTTCAATCCATTCCTAATGAAATCAAGAAAGAAGGATGAACTGAAATTGAGGGTCAAAAAATCATTTTTCATATCTTGCATGCAGAACGGGGAAAGAGACTGCGTTGCAGCTGCGGCCATTTTAAAAGGAGGAAAATTGACAAGGATGTTAAATGATTACACATAGTAGGACCTAAATGTCATTTATTATATGGCAAGGAGGGGTAGGGTAAATCCAAGCGTTCTGATAAGTTCTTACTTGGTCCGTATTTTCCTGTACGTACCGTTTCCACGGAAACGGTCATAAATCGTGTATTTTGGCGAAAGCCAGCAAAATTCCAAACAAATAAATTTGGCCCCAGTGCCATATAATAAATTACTCGCTTGCTCGAGCCGTACTGGGGAATAATGGCCCCAGGTCATGGAAGTGCGGACCTCCCAGCGCTCGATCCGTACCGCCACGACTTCGGGCCAATATTCCTCGCGCTTGTTTAATAAGAACTAATAGTACATGCATTCACACCGACAAATTTTCTCACATACAGAGGTGCTACAGTCCTGAAGCGCTCGCTGATTCGAGAGTCCATCTTACCGTTGTATCATTAATCAATTTGCTGAGTTCCTCCAAATCCTTTGCAGTATAAATCTCATCTTTGTCTGTAATGTTGTCTATTTGGACTAGGAAAGTTCTGGACAGGTTCAAGCTGCTCTTCAGCATCTCTACTGCTTTGGGTCTTTCCTTGTGCTCTTTTAGGCGGATTCTGAACTCGTACGATTGATCTTTTAGTTTTTGCAGTTTGGTCTCGTACACCTGATGAAACATGAGTAACGTTTTTAGACCCTTCGACTTCCAAATGAGAGCGACTTAAATCCTGATTAAATCCAACAAAGGGGTAAAAAGAACAGACAAACTAAACAGGGAGAAGGCAATATCTTTGTTCCACACTAAAATCTCAACACCAATTTCAACGCAAGAAAAAACCGCGGGAAAAAACTTTCGACAAAATATAGCCGGGGAACAGGTCCACATCATTAGCGCTGCTCCACCTGCGGGAAGATTTGAGACGAGTTGGAGAGTGGTTTGTTGGGGGTCTGGCACCAATAATGTTAATACAACCGTTGAAGTTTGCTTACGTCGGCAGTTGAGTCCCAGCCCTCATCGTCCAGCCAGTCAGAGGCCTCACTAAGGGCCTGGTCAATCTTTTCCCTCTCCTCCTCAGTAGACAGTAGTACTCCTGTATCAGTAAACAGTTCTTCTCTCATGCCATAGATATGTGTCTCTAACAAGTTCTTAGCTCTTTCATTTGCGGCTTTTGCTTCGTCCTTTGCTTGCAGGTCTTTAAGTCTATCGAACAAAGGAAATCCATTTACAAAAAAACATTTCTAAGTTCAAAAACCTCCCACTTTATAACAGAGCACAGTGCAAAACCATTTCTTGGAAAATAAAAAAAAACCTTTTAAACAAAAGGACGGTCTCTGTTAGCATTTGTTTCATTAGGCAATCTCTCATACGTTAATCATCACATGTTACCCATAATATTCACTAAGATTAACTGTAATACTATATCTATTGCGACTGACAATGACAGTGAGAGTGACACAGTCCAAGTTACAGGGCCCCGCAAAAGGTTCCCAAAAATTGCGTGACATAACTCACAATAACAGCCGGCTAGAGCCTATGAATGCATTACATAACATTCCCTAAGCTCCATGAGAGAAACGACGAAATTCCCTAAAATTGCAAGGGGTGGAATCCTCATTTTGTCCTAATTTGTCACATTACTTTTTCACAGAGGCAGATAGCACGTCATCGCTCGTGTCACTGACGTCCACCCAATGTAATGCCATCTCAAGAGGTTCACGGACAGTCACAGGTTTGCTCGGCTTATTCGCGTCGGATTTTTCTTTCTTGGCGTCTTCAGTTTTGTTTCCGGCCTTCTCATCCTGTAAAAAACGTTCAAGAACAAGAAATGGTTTTAAATCCATAGTAGAGGGTAACGCCATTTTACCATAGGGGGAATTGAAACAAAATGGCCGCACTGAACGATCCAAATTTTGAGTTTTCTCCCACGCTTTTTAAGGCTTCGCTTTTAAAACAACAAACCTTTTTAAGCGCTTCAAATTTTTTTTGGCCATAAGATTTTTTTAACGGTTTCGTTTGTGTTATTTTCGTCTTTCGCGCACGCCTTATGAGATCGATAGGATGTATTTCGAAAACTAGAAGCCAAAACACTAGAAATTGAAAAGATAGTGAAATAATAAATCCTCCTTTGGGTATTTTGCTTATTGCTCTATTACTACGCAAATCGCAAAATATCCGCCCGTATTAAATGTTAAACTGTAGAATAAGGTGTTTCTTAACATCGAAGAGAAAAGTTGTTTTGTAAGTAAATTGACGTCGGACGTTTGGTGCGTGACAAGGTCAGTTTTTCGTGACCTTTTCGCAATAAAACCTTGCCGCACATGATAGTTGAAAAAGTCTTTTTTGATACCTTGGAAAAATTAGGTCTTCTTGTTCGGTTTGTTGGTGATGTCATTTTTGCTTAAGAAATGCCATTACAAGTTGACTTTTCTGGAAAGTAGCCTACAACTTAGAGGCTCATACCCTCACGGCACATTTAAAACTTCAAAAACCATTTAAAAAAACTTAAACGTGCCTGTTTGTCGCCGTCTTTTTTCGCTTCAGAGGATTCTTCTTTCTTCTCTCCGTTCTTTTCTCCTTTTTCTTCCTCTTCTTCTTTCTTTTCATCACTCTTTCTTTCTCCATCTTCTTTACCTTGTTCTTCCTGTTTGTCCTCATTCTTTCCCTCATCCTGTTTTTTGTCCTCGTCTTTTTCTGCAGCTTTTTCTTCAGATTTCTCATCTTCCTTTGTTTTTGCCTTTTCCTCTCCAGCTTCCTCTTTCTCCGTCTTCTCACTTTCTGCTTCCTCGGATTTATCTCCTTCCTTAAGAGGTAACAGAAATTACATAGAAAAAAATGGAAAGTACATTGATAAACATGTTTCTCATCGCTGAAACATTGATCCAGAACACCCAAGAACGAACGCACGAGTTGCTCACGTTCTCCCTCCACATCTCCCGTGCCCACGTGATGGCCACGTGACCAAAATCAACCGGGGCAACAGCGTCGATACGCCAATTACTAAATCGCTTTGCCAAGTTTGATCAAAAAGTCAATTCTCCCGGACTGTTAAGGCATTTGCGAGTAGGCATGTCGTGAGAATTCAAAATTTAAAGCAACTGAGGTTTAAAGCAACTGAGGGTACAAATATCGTCCTGTACCCTAAAGTTATGCGACATTTTCACAAAGAAAGTTAAGATGAATTTATAAGTGATACTTTGAGCAACAGCTCCCTTACCTCAACTTTACTTTCTTTATTTTCCTCTTCCCCTGAGCTGCCAAAGAAGCTCGAAATTTTACTTCCGATTTCTGTCGAAATAAAAAGCGACAATTCAAACACAAACCATATAGGAACAGTCCAACTATCTTTCAACGTGTTTGCCAAGAAGGAGCCATTTCGCTCCTCGTTTTCTGTAAGCTTAAAGAGCTATGTAACGGTTTATTCACACGAGGTGTTCAGGAAATAAGACTAAGTTGCTGTCAATAGAAATGTACTACACCATACTTGCAAACGTTGACTGTTCTTCTTCCGATTTCTCCTCAGGCTTTTCAAACACAGACTCCACCTATGATAAATTTAGAAACATTGAAGACTTGATTTGAATTGATTGCCATTCATTTACTTTTAACACAGCAGTTAAATTGTAAAAATTGCTAAGTCATGATTCTATTGGACTGACTGACGGAGCGACCAACCAACACTCGTGATAGTTCACTAAAAAAATAATATGATCTGTTTACTAGGAGTAAGTAATATTCTCTATTTATTATCACGATTACGATGTTACTAACGTAGTAACCCTAATTAGTGCCTGGCATCTGAGGTCTCTGTGTTTAAATAAAATTTACTACAAAGATTCTAAGTTTCTTACTTCACTTGCACAGGAGCCAACATCGCGCTAGCGAAGGGCTACGTCTCGAAACGTCAGCTTGAAAAACTCTCTAAGGTCACGGGCCAATTTACATTATCAACTTAGTTGATTAACCAACTAAATTATCGTTTACACACCTTCTCCAGGTTTAGAATTCCACTTTCGTCCATCCTAAAGTACGCCTTGATGCCTTTTGATTCCCCCTTCGGTGTATGCTTATCTAGCGCAGCCGCTACCCCCTTGACGCTCACTGTGGTCAAATTCATTGATCCAAGCATGCTATAATATCAACAAAACACTGCTTTGAGCTGCAACACTTGGAATTTTCTTGTATTCATAAAGGAGGATGAAAATCCTTCAGACTGTTAGCAACACATATCACTCTACATTGACTTACAACACTTTATTCTTAAGTACCTCTCTCTACCCAGGGCCGGGTTGTTCAAAGCTGGGTTAGGATAACCCAGAGTTAGTGGGAAATCTGATTTCAGATCTGGTCGCTTTAAAAGAAAAATTCAGTCAAATTCTTTTTGTCTATAACACGACTCTTGGATGCTCTAAAAAGAACACAGGACATTATCCCAAAAATGCATTTGAATAAAGGAATAAGGACACCCAAATTAAAATTTAGCCTTAGGTTAGCACTAATCGGTCTTCGAACAACTGGGCCCAGGACTATAGATGAGTATGGAAGCCTGATGAAAATATTGCGGGGTAACATTGCGATCGACTGACATCCCATAGGGTGTGGGGGGGGGGGGGGGGTGGTGTGGGTAGTAATACTCCTTATCACATCATGGCTGCATGGCCACTTAGCTTGAGTACAGACTCCACCTGTTTTTTACCATCACTAACTAGTGCATGTCTACGCCACAGTAGAAAGAGCCAGAGTCAGACCTCAACTGTGGTTCTCCTGCATTTATTCAGCTCTGTTACATAGAGACTATGACGAAAAACGAAATAAAAACAGTGGCAGAAAAATCATCACCTCTGTTCGTCTTCACTCAAGAAGTCCAAATCAGTATAGCTTGCGTGGAAGTTGAAATCGTCCGTGTGTCTGTTAAACGTCATCACTTTTTTCTGCGGCAAAACATTCATTCTGTGGTACAACATACGTTTCACGTGTTTAACAGTCTGGCTTCCATCCTCTGCCTTATTCGCACGTTCAAATGACACCTTCAAGCAGAAGAGAAAACCAAATCTATCACCCATGGTTCAGTTTAACAAGAAAAATTGAGACATTGCTCCTTCAATATGCCCACATTTTAAATGTTACTAAATTCTAATTCCACTCCCACTACCACAGCAAAACAACGGTAAGATGACAACTTTTTTCAAAGAAGAGATTTAAAAAGGGGCCGGAATTTGAAGTAATATCAAACATCATACGAACCTGTACTGGGTATATGTTAGCTTCCTTAACAAGAAATTTCTTCACTTTGAATCCCTTGCCAAGATTGGCAGCTTGATAAACGGCGCCTGCATTTGTGGGAGATAAAATTTCAACAAAAATTTAAAAAAACCGACCACCTAAGTTAGAATCACAGGAACAAAACATTTTCAGCTGGTGACTCAGCCATAGTCCTTTACACCCTTACATCAATATGCATATTCTCCTTACTGCTGCCTTTACATTTCCCATGTTACTGACGAGGAGAAGTTGTCAAAAAATCAAGAGCTTCTTTCGTTAGTAATCATTTCCTTTCAGTATTCTCATGACACGAAAGTTTTATTCAAGGGTGATAACCTGGGAAGAAATTACTTGCTTATCACTCTTACGGAGGTAAAAGGTTGAGACGGATCCTCTCCATTTTTTTCCCTCTTGTTGGAACGAAACTAAGAAAGCACAAACAACAATTTCAAATAACCAAAACTGTAATTTTTCTACCTAAAGCAGCAGCCTCATCCGCGTTCACATTCTTTCCGAGTTCTGACCTGATATAAAAAAAAGTACAAAAATATCAATCAACTGAATTGTCGATATCTGATGAGCATGGTTAAGAGAGAAGTACCCCTTCCAGGGGTAGCAACAGTAACCTTCACGCCATAGAAATCAGGACAGGATAGCCTCCAGCTTGCTATGAGAGTTCATTGAACCTGTTGAAGATGGTAAACTAGAACTTACTTTTTAACAGCTTTCAAAAGTAGTTCTTGCACTTTTGGTACGCGGGTTCCGCCTCCTACGAGAATTACACTTTCAATTTCATCCTGCAAAGATAAACAACATTCACAGTTCCTTCGCGAACAAAGAAACTCTATGCAGCTTATTACAGGAAAAGTTTAAGAGGTCACAAAAAGGCCTCAATATATCACGACAGAGAGATGACAGAACTACTGCTATTGTATTTTCTCTCACCAATGGAATGGCTGAAGATTTCAGAGCCTGCTCCACTGGACCCGAGACTCTTTTCAGTAAGTCACTGCACATTTCTTCAAATTCCTCGCGTGTAACCTTGGCACGGAAATCCTTCTCCTCAAACGCACCCTCAATCTACAAGAAAAAGTTAGCAGTGTATTTGCATGATAACAGCTTGTGATTCAGCATTTAATCAATCTTTCAAGACCAAGTGGTGTTAGTTCTGTTTGTTAGTGTGTCTATCTGCTTATCTGAGTCTGTACGTCTGCCTGTTTCTCTGTCTTTTTACCAGCCTGTCTCTCTGTATGTGTCTGACTGTCTGCTGCTCTATTTGTCAGTCTGTGGCTCTATTGGTAGGTCTGTCACTCTATTTGTCAGTCTGTCACTCTATTGGTCTGCCTGTCACTCTATTTGTCAGTCTGTCACTCTTTTGGTCTGTCTGTTGCTCTATTTGTCAGTCTGTCACTCTATTGGTCTGTCTGTTGCTCTATTTGTCAGTCTGTCACTCTATTGGTCTGTCTGTTGCTCTATTGGCCTGTCTGTCACTCTATTGGTCTGTCTGCTGCTCTATTTGTCACTCTGTTGCTCTATTTGTCAGTCTGTCAATCTATTTTTTAGTCTGTCTATGTGCCTCCCTGTCTTTGAGGACAAACCCACCAATGATTGGAAACACTAAACAATCTACAACAACCCTTACAGTTGGTGTGTCTCTCAGTCGGTTATTTAATCAGGTAAATAGTACGAATCAGTCTCAGACACTTGGACAGTATATCAGTCAGTTAGTTGGTATGCCTGTCACTCTGTCAGTCAGCCAGTCAGACAAGAAGTCTTTCAGTGTATTCCAACCAGCCAATAAGTCTGTACGTATTTCTGCCAAACAGTCAGCTAGCTAGGTTGGTCAATCAGACACTCAGTTAGTCAGTCAGACAGTTATGATGGTCAGTCAGTAAGTTAGTCTGTCAATCAGTGGGTAAACCAGCTGCCACCAACAAGTCAGCAAATCAATCCATAATTATAGTTGTTTAGCAAATTAACTCATACCAACCTGTGCAAAGATCTCTGTGTTTGCACTTAAAACTTGTTTCACTCTTGCAGCCTCCTTAAGAAATTTTGCCATGGCACGAGGGGACTGGGTCACATCCCCCTGTGTCTTATGCTGCTCCTGGAATAACAAAAACCCAAAAGGTTTTCAACACAACAGCAAACAAGAAAATACTACTTTTTTGTTATTAGGTTACTGCCAAACTCACAAGGCTATAAAAGTCTTGAAATATTTTGAGTAGGGAATGCAACTCCTGGTGTTGTGGTCTGGCTTTGATTTCAAGATTGGGGGCACTTGCAAAAATCTACTTTAAAAAATTGTAAACTGCTCAATGCAGTCTAGCCAAAGTCCCCCTGCAAAATGTTGCAATACCCTCCTAGGAGGAGAGTTTGTGAAAACTACTGTACTGTTTTATTGTTTGTGTCATAACTGAGCATACTGGTGATGAAAACATAGCTGCAGTCAAACTAAAAACTGCTTATTACAGTTAAGTTATCATCACATCTGATTGGCCTCTTGTTGACATTATAACACTCGCAGCCAACAATATTTCCAGTTCTCACCATTGTTAAGTTTTATAATGAAAACATATGTTATTCACCTTGAAGTATAACAAAATATAGCTAACAAAATGATTTCATGTTTATTTAGAAACACAAATATGAAAACATTGCACTGGCTTTCATTTTGGTGTCCATAAAAACATATACACAAAAAAACCACACAAGCTAAATCTTACAGCTTTAAAGTACATCTTTCACACAGTCAATAAAATTTAACCAAAAAATCCACAGAATCCATTTATCTTTTTCTTGAGCAGATAGAGCTAATAAGCAGGACTTGATAGTGTAAAAACTTTTTATTGCTTTAACATTCATCTCCATTTGTTCTTTCAATTGCTTTACTGACATGCTGTTTTCCACACACTTAGTAGAGACTTAGTACAACAAAATACCTTGAACAGTTTAATGAGATGATCTCTCATTAACATTTCCATGGCATGACCTCCCAGAGTGCGATCAAATCTAAAGTAGGAAATGCATTAAAAATTACCAGTTTACAAGCAACAATTAAAAGAAATTCATGCCGGACTTCATTATTTCAGTGATACTGGTAATTGTGATTTTCATGTGAACTCTGGCCAAAATATGATTTTACAAAAAACAGATGCCACCAAAGGAGAAAGAAAGAGTCAGACAGAAACACAGACAGACAGAGAAACAGACTGATACATTACACTGACTGACACCTGACTCATGATAGAGAAAGAGAGACAATAACCATAGACAGACCAACAGAAAACTAGATGGGCAAAGTTAAAATATAAGGTTCACAAGGAAGAAACTTTTATGATGCTTTGACAAGCAAGTGAAACACTTACTGTACACATACATCATTACCAAATAGAAACTGATCCAGGTTTATATCTCCTAGCTGTCACAAACTTTGAAAAGCTGATGTTTCAAACATGAGCCATTTCCTCTGTGCAAAATAATGGCTTGATGGATGGATTAAGGCTTTAACTCCCAGACCAAATTTGTAATTCTCCTTACTGTCAACCATACAATTCTTATGATGTTAGTTCAGAGAATTGAGTTTCAGATCAACTGATTATCCCCAAATTGATGTTTTCTTTATTCTCATCACTTATTTGGTTGATATTGTAAGGAGAAATTCTGTCTTGGTCACTCCTGGGAGTTAAAGGGTTAAGGAAATATAAATAAACAAACAGCAAATCCTTCACTCACCCAACTCCTTTTACTACTACTTGAGGAGCTGTCTCGGTGATTCCTCTGTCTTTTGTTTTCACTGTACTGTAGCCTAAAAAAAAAACAGAAAATAATGTTAGAAAGCATGCAGTGAGCATTTTTTGCTTGTTTTAACTGAGATGACTATAAAGTGGTAGCATTTGGTAAATACATAACCTTCTTCTGGAATAAAAAGTGACATGATTTGACAGCTAAGAGATTTCCCTAAATCCTTTTACCTCCAAGAGCGACTAGCATCTAATTTCTCCTTAAAATATCACCCCTGAGTCACACATGAAGGTGACAAGAATAAATGAAATGATCACCAACTGAAGAAGCTCTTGATTGTTCAACAAATTCTCTTTGTCAGAACCTTAGGAAAGGTATAGAGTACAGTTTGGATACTGTGTACTGATATTTAAAAGTGTAACATGTTAAAACATAAGAGGGTGTCCATGTGCTGATTTGAGCCCCAGCCAGTTACTTACCCACAATAGTAGCAACTGTACTTGTGGCTCCCATGTCATAGAACATAATAAACTGTCAAAATGAAGCAGAAAAACGGCAAGTTTCAGAAGAAAGGTGTTTTTAGCAAACTCATCAGACACATTTACTTGAAAAGGGATAAAATATTCCAATGATAAGTCTGTGCTACACTTACTCTCTCAGTATTGTTGAAAGATGCTCGACGGAACACTCCATAGTGAAGCGCGACTAAAACAAAACAACATTGCTGATTTTTAAAATATTACAAAGCCAAATTCAAATACATGTACACACAAAAGTCTAACTGGGTGGTAAGTGCTCTCCTTTTCAGGCAGTAGCCAGTAAAATTTACCTCCAGTAGTGCCTCTTATTACTGCTTTAAATCACTTGGAACTTTTGAAAATAAAACAAGTAAAAGGATTGCTTTACCAGTTTGAAAATATCTTTCACCTGCTATGCTTAAAGTGAGGGTGGACACTGGATAGTAATTGAATGTGTTACCCTTTATACTCTTTAACAAGGTTTAACTCTACATTTAAATTATACAATCCATCTATAAGATAATTTTTGGCTACAACTTAAAAATAAAATTTCAGGTTAAAATAGACTGCCAAAAATTACTTGTACTTCAACCTATCAGTATACTTTGCTCTGCATTGTTTACAGATTTTCTACATATGAACATTAACATCGACAGTGTATGCTTGGGCTACTGAACAACTGTAACTTTAGCAAGGCAATCATAACAATCCTGTACAAGGCTATGCTGAAGGAACTTCTTTGTCTGTTGATGCAACCCTTAACTACTGAAGTGAAAGCTACTCAGCAGTACTCCCAAGGTCTTCATTATCTGTTACAAGACTTATTCACATATCTTTTCTTCACTGACCTGCTGTATTTTCATTCATTAACTGAAGAACATTCAGCCCCACCAACCTTGCAGCCCTATTAGCAGAAAAAGACAAGTTTACATGGTAAATAATGAGTGGAAAGCATTGCACCATGCAATGTTTTAAATTTGACACAAAAGAGGAGACAGGGAATTAACGCATGTCAAAACATACCTTAAAACAGATCGTCGTTCAGCTTGGTTGAAAAATGAAGGGACTGTGATAACCACATCTTTCATTGGGTGATCTGAAAAGAAGTCATACCAGAACTGTGCAGCATGTAACAGCAGATTCAATGGTTTTAATCTGACTTAAAAGGAAAAAAAACCCATCATTCAAAATTCATCTCTATAACTCACCTGCAAATTTCTCTGCAATATTTCTGGAGTGATTCAGAATCATGCCAAGAATTTCTTCTGGACTAAAGGTGATCTCACTATCATGTCTGAAGAGAACAGTTCCTGTTAAAAAAAAAGGCAAAAAACCTTAACAAAGTAAAGATGTACAAAATTTGAGAGTTCCATACAGAATTTTAGATCAATTTGAAGAGAAGAGAACTGCTTTAGAATGGAGTAAACCCATGACCCAATGGTTTCTTAAGGAAAGACAAATACCAACAGGTGGGAATTTGAAAGAATTGTCATCAGAAATGCGAGTGGAACTTGACAAGTCAAGAAGCTGTAGCCCATGGAAACCGTCCAATATAGAGAGTACTAACAGCATGACTTTCACTCCTGAGAACATCTGGAATAAAACCTCAAAGAAGAGACTCATGTTGGTTGGTAAAGAGGTCTAACTAATTACAACAGGAAACCCAAGATGATTTCTCTGTTGCAACTGGACATGTTTAACCCTAACAAAAAGTAACCACACAGTCATTTCAAATTGATAACACAGAATGTTAAAATTCATAACAGTTTGATTGATAATTAAAAATTAATGAATTGCATACCAGTCTCTTTATCTTCCTCAAGGTCATACCATGGAAACCTGAGAAACAAAAAAGAGCTTTCTAAAAATTTATCCTTACACCCTAACATCAGTATGCATATTCTCCATGCTGTTCCTTATACATTACCTAAGGTGCTGACAAGGAGAATTTGCTTAACAATCAAAAGCTTCATTGGTTGGTGATCATTTCCTTTACTCTCATGACCTTAATTTGTGATTTTAAAGTGATATTCTAGGGAGAAATTAGAATGCCAGTCTCTCTTATAGGTCAAATGGTTAGGAGACCAGTTTCAAAGAGGTAATGACCTGACATCAGCAAAACAAACAGCACTCCAAGTTGCAACTATTTTGGTTCCCATAGTAACTGAATTTGAAGTAAAAGTTGCCAATTGACAATTACCGTAATTTCCGGTCGATTACCCGCACGGCCGATTACCCGCACCGGCCGATTATTGCATACGGCGAAAAAAAAAGTCAACGGATTACCCGCACCGGTGGATAACCCGCACGTTGTTATTCAACTTTTTTGGTGGCGAAAACGTGACATTAAGGCGATACATTTCAGTCTTTCGATTCAGACATGTGCACAATTCTGATAAAATTATACAGTGAAAATTGAACAGTAAAATTATACAGGGCGAGTGTTAAAAACTTGAATGATAAAGTAAGTTCAGTTCAAAATCCATTAAAATCTTCATCCTCAGTGTCACTATTAAATAAGTCCATTAACTGCGCATCGAGTACAGGATCCAGAATTGCGGTAGATGTTATTTGTTCATCGTCACTGATGTCGGATGTCTGAGATGCATCATCGTCGGTGCCACTTGCAATTCCTGCTTTTCTAAAACCATTCTTGATGGATGAAACTTTTACAGCCTTCCAAGCTCGCACAACCCAGTCGCAGACTTCGGCATGGGTGGCCCTCCTCATTTTTCCTGTTTCGGTAAAGGTATGGATTCCCTCTGACATCCACTTCTCCCACTCCTCGCGAACATGGTTTTTGAAGGAACGGTTCACAGAAATGTCCAACGGTTGTAACTTTTTTGTAAGGCCTCCAGGAATCACTGCGGTGGTTGTTTTGTGCTCCGTTCTGTAATTGTTTCGAATGCCTTCATCGATGTGTGCGCTGAAACTGTCGAAGATAAGTAGCGAAGTTCTATTAAAGAAGGACACTGGTCTGGCACGCCAAACTTTCTCACCCCAGACAGCCATTCCATCTCTGTCCATCCATCCTTTCTTGTGGCAATGGACCACCACACCGTCCGGTAGATTTTCTTTCGGCATTGTTTTGCGCTTGAAGATTACCATTGGCTTGAGCTTCTTCCCTGATTCTGAGCATGCAAGGACAACAGTAAAGCCTGTTTTCTCATGACCGGTGGTTGACACAGGAATAGTTTCAGCTCCGGTTGCATCAACAGTTCTGGAAAAAGGAGCATCAAATGACATTGGGACTTCATCCATGTTGAAGACACGATCTCCTTGGATTCCAAGCTCCTCCTTTCTTCGCAAAACAAACTGGTGAAAGTTCGCAACCTTCTCCTCCCAGTCATCGGGCAGTTTCTGGCCCACCGTGGTTCTCGCTCGCACAGACAATCGATGTCGGCGCATGAATCTGCAACACCAGCTCGGACCTCCTACAAAATCAGCAACATTCATTTGCTTTGCTAATTCTCTCGCCTTCAGTCGGATCATGACGGTAGTGACAGCACGGCTATTTTCTCTTTGGCTGACAATCCACTCCTTCAAGGCATTTTCCAATGCGGGAAACTTTGCGATACCAGTCCGGCAAGTGTGCTGACGTTTTGGTAGTTTTGCCATGGCTTTCTTTTTCTTTCGCCAGTAACGGATCATGGATTCATCAATTTCAAATTCTCTTGCTGCTGCTCTATTACCGATTTCATCGGCAAGAGTTATTACTCTAAGCTTATAATCAAACGTAAAACTGTGACGTGGGCGTTTCACAGCAGGCATTTTAACTTAATTGGTGACTCGTGGATACACTTATCGCGAATGATCGAGGTTTATAATTCTTATTCAGTCAGTTACCTTTTTATAGCATGTAGGAGCGTAATGAGCAATATCCATTGTTCATTTGTCGTTAAAATACTTTTTCAGCGCGAAATTAGTTAAGTTTCGCACCTATTATTTTCAACATTCTGGTGATGCATTTGGGATTTAAAATTACTGTCGGCAATTTCTCAAAAAAATCGATATCTCCTGTTCTACTGGGCCTAACAAGTCCCTTAAAATGGGAAAATTCTCTTTAGCTCAAGCTAGTGAAAACTGGAAATTTGTTACTGATGCGCCGGATATCCTTGGATTATTTTTGTCACCATCAAGGTTTTGTTTTCACGCGTGCCGATAAAAATTTGTTTGTCACGCAACTAATAAATTATTATGCGTGAAATAAACTCGAGTTGGCATCATGTTTTCGTGCCGCTTTGTGGCACTTTTGATACAATAAAATTCATTTGAGAGGTGGAAACGCAGGCAGGTGAGAAATTTTTTCAATTCAACTTCCAGAAGAATTTTAAATTGTCACATAACCCGCACCTCCCTATTACCCGCAGTGGCGCGGATTTAATGCAAAATCAACAGATTACCCGCGGGTAATCGACCGGAAATTACGGTATGTAAAACCTGTGCCAGTGCCCTATCAAGAGGCCATACGGCAAAACACAAACATGACAGGCTGCTCATTGACTAAATAGACAACACTTAGAGGCATAATAGGTGGTGATAGAGCACTGGTGACCAGCTTTTAATGAAACTCCTGTCAAAAGTGGTCACACTGTAAAAAATTAAAAAAAAAGAATCAGGTTATATCCTACTCACCTTTGCTTGTACTGCTCTACCATTGGGTTGCTGAACTTTTTACCCAAGACATTTTGAACATAAATGTAAGAACTCTTTGGATACTTGACTGACTGTAAACACAATCATAAGTGAAAATAGAATGTTTTATTAGGGTAACTTTCACTCAAGCCCTACATGTGGGCTTGCTATAGGGATTGGAGTCTGGATTTACAATCTGCTGCCAAGACTCTAGAGCCAATGCATGTATTCATTTTTTTTTTGGCATGTAAGCTTCAAGAACCATTTGAAAAAGTATGTGAAAACAATGTACTGGAAAGATTTAAATTTTCAAAGGCTTTTCAAATGCTTTTTACATATGAAGATTGTGCCTAAACTTTACCAATACAAGGCCAAGAGTAAGCCTACAAATGTGTCTGGATGTAATGATTCTCAGACACAAAGAAAGTAACTCTCACAAGAACTTTCAAACATACCGTGGTTAGAGCACTGTCACTGAATAATCGTTCATTGTCTCTTAGAGAAACAGCTACTGGTGTTTTCCGTCTCGACTCCCTTAGAGTAGAAATAAATCCACAGTCCATTATTAAAACAGAAAATAAAAAAGAAATTTGTAGTTAATGTGTTTTGTAATGGTGACAGGACTGAATGGAATCCAATTAGGTCTGAAATCAAAAAAGTGATAAACAAAATTGGATAACTGTGACGTGGGAATCCGATTTGTCAATTATAAGTACAATTAGAGACAGACTTGGATGACACAAAGTTCTGTTAATTCCAATTAACCAAAACTATGACAAAATACGAGAAACAAACTAGCCATCGGTTCTATGTTTTCATAAAAAACAACAGTGAACTCCTTGAAATGCACAACAACAGCACATGCACATGCACATGCACATGCACATGCATGACGCATACCCTCCAGTTACACAGACATGAAATGAACACTGTCCAATAAGTTCTCAAATTGGGCTGTAAAGAACCAATCAAATTCAAGAACTTTGTTATAGTTTTGATTTAGTTTTTGATCTGTCATAGCTAAAGACCAGTTGAAGTAAATAATCACAATTGAAAGGAGAGAATCCGAGATAACAAAAGAGATATCTTGATCTGGAGAAAGAAACAATTTCAACTCCACCCCTCAAATTTATGCCGTGATTTATGCTGTGACCAGGGCAAGAACTTATTTATGTAAGGATACAAGATGAAAGTTTTACACTGCAAATTAAGTAACTTTACTTCTTGTAATTGAAATTTTAAGTCGTGACTTACGTATTCAAGGCAATTTCCATTGGTACACCAGGCTAAAACAGACCAAAAGTGAAATATTTTCACAATTTAACTATGTATAAATTAATAATCTAATTAGACATTGGCAAATACACAGAAATTGCTGAAGCTACATAGTCACACAGTTGTATCTAGAGCAGGGGTTTCAAAACAAGCCAGCTACTGGATAAGAAGTTGCTGGTTACTCTGGTCAAAATAATTACCTTTTTCACAGTCACCTGTTATTTCAGAGTCTGACACCTACTTCAAAACTTTTTGAAACCCCTGCCAATGGATTGTGTGTTACCTCAGCAGATCAACAGAAACCAACTCCACATCTCAAAAGCAATAAACCTTGTTTGCGAAATTGCTGTGACAAATATTAACCCCTTAACTCCCACATCAAATTTGTAATTCTCCTTACTGCCAACCATACAATTCTTATAATGTTAGTTCAGAGAATTTAGTATTGGATCAACTAATTATCCCCAAATTGATATTTGTCTTTATTCTCATCACTTATCTGGTTGATATTGTATTGTTATTGTAAGGAGAAATTCTATCTTGGTCACTCACAGGAGTTAAAGGGTTAACTAAGTCACTAATCAACCATTAACCCTTTACACCCTCACATAATTATGTGTATTCTCTATAATGTTCTCTATACATTTCCTAAGGTGCTGACAAGGAGAATTTGTTTAACAATCAAGAGATTCTTTAGCTGGTAATCATTTCTTTTATTCTTGTGATCTTAATGTTTAACCCAGGAGTGGTATTGTGAGGAGAAATTAGATGCTTGTCACTCTTAAGGTCAAAGTGTTGACACACACTCTCACAGGAGTGATAAATCATCTTTGTAATCATAATACTTATCTGTCAAGCAGATAAGTGGCAAGAATATAGAAAACTTTCAAATTGACATGACTTTAAATTCTCATCAAGACCCATTAAAGAAATGTATGTTTACTTGTTGGGAGAATTAGCTTTAAAATCTTGGAAATGAAAAGGTAAAACATACCTTCACTATGGCTACTTTCATAAACTGGCTACCTAGATCCACTGACATCACCGCTAAGCCATCTGTTAACAAGAGAAACAACAAACAAACTATAAATTTAGATCATAAGTAAAAATCACACCAACCTTAAGATTGAATATCACCTATTACAAGTGTTCAATTTATTCATTACCAGACTGATGTTTTTTTGAATGGATAGACACTTTCTGTAAACAAACAAGACTGTCCCACAGCTTTAATAATAATAATAATAATAATAATAATAATAATAATAATAATAAAAACAGTACTAGAACATATTTCACAAGTCTCAACTGCTTTTACAAACTTAGAAATAATTAATTCCATTAAATTGGAAATAAACATAGTAAATAGATATATAAATAATGTTTAAGAGTCCAAAGTGACAGGAGTCAAATTAGTTGGCTATATACAAAGACCATCAGAGAAGTTGAATTCAGGGTCACTGAAAAAAAATGCAGTGAGTAGCAAGGCGGAGGGCTTGAAAGAGGGACCACTGGATTACAAGACCAGCGCCTTCACCACTTGCCCACTCTGTCTATCATATATTTTTGACATTTGTACCAACAATCTTTTTCTTTTGGGAGCTAAAGCTTATTACCATAATTTCCAGCTGTTTACCCACGCAGCCGATTACCTGCACTAGCCAATTATTACATACGGCGAAAAAAAAAGTCAGCAGATTACCCGCACTGGTGAATAACCTGCACGTTATGTTATTAAACTTTTTGGTGGCGAAAATGTGACATTAAGGTGATACATTTCAGTCTTTTAAAAGTTGTCTGATCTAACTTTCAAAAACTTGAAAGCTTCTTTGTTGAGTTTAAAGGTCAAAGAAATTCAGACATGTGCACAATTCTGTGTCAATATTAGCATGTATTAGCATGATGAAATTACACAGTAAAAACACTAGCAGCCCATGCCCAAATCTCAAGGTTTCATATATGTGGCCACAAATTTGCATTCTTGACAGAATGCAAATTTGTGGCCACATTTTGTGCGAGCGATTGTTCAGCGCCATGTTGATTTGTTGAAAGAAGCTGGGTGAGTGTTAAAACTTGAATTATAAAGCTTTCTCGGCGATTTCTGAAAAAAATTGATGTCTCTGGTTCTATTGGGCCTAACAAGTCCCTTAAAACAGGAAAATTCTCTTCAGCTCAAGTTGGTGTTAAATGGAGATTTTTAATTGATGCACCAGATATCTTTGGATTATTTTTGTCACCATCAAAGTTTTGTTTTCACGCATGCCAATAAAAATTTGTTTGTCATGCAACTAATTTTGCATGAAATATACTTGAGTCGGCATCATGTTTTCATGCCGCTTTGTGGCACTCTTACTACAGTAAAATTCATTTGAGAGGTGGAAACGCATGTAGGTGAGAATTTTTTTCAATTCAACCACCAGTAGATTTTAAAATTGTCACATAACCCGCACTTCCCTATTACCTGCAGTGGCACGCGTTTAATGCAAAATCAATGGATTACCCGCAGGTAAACGGCTGGAAATTACAGCAACTGCCTACTTCAAAATGATGTCTACATTCCTGGTAGAAAAATTACAGGCTGAAAGTTCATTTTTCTAATTTTATATATGTTTAATTTCTCACCTGATGAAGAGACAAAGAAGGAAAGAGCCACAGCAGCTATAAATAATACTGTTCCTGGCTTTCTAATTAACATTATTGGTTGATGACTGGAGTTGTCCACAACTGCTCCATGAGGGAAAAAAAAACAAAACAGAAGTAACCAATCAAATTGTTGGAAAGTGAAAACAACTTTTGCAACTATTTACAAACTAGCTTAGTATAGGATCAATAAGATATTCATACAGACTGAGAAATCTTTTATTTAAATGAACGATTTTTGCAGTTTTAAAAAGGAAGTAATGAAGTGGTAATTAAATTTTATGTTCTACAATTTCAGTCTGAGATCATGTGATTTAGAATTAAACTTGCACACCAAATTGCACTCCACTCAGTTCAATTACCAGAATAAATCAAAAAGTATCCCTCAGTTGATATTCTTCTTGCTTCTCATCACCTGTTTGCTTGCAAATGTATTGATAATGTCAGGAGAATTCCTCTCTAATCACTCTTGAGGGTGAAATGGTTGATAACAGCTGCACTAAGTAAGCCAAGAGGCTCATATGGCACCAGAGCTCAAACCCTCAGTATGCAAAACGCAAACTGGTGGTACCCATTTAAACCACAGTTCTGCAGTTGACAAGCTAACAGTGCTTGCAGGCCACCTTGACAATATTTAGTTGACACAAGGTCTGGTTTTTTTCCCCTGAGTACGAGTATGCCATCCAAATATGACACTAATTCTTTTTTTTTTTTCGGACAGAAAAAATTCAGTGCTGATTTTAAACTTAGTATTTAACAAACGTAAATAAATCTGCTTTCAAGGGACTTCTTTGAGATATGTCATCATTTGCAGTGCATGTACACGGGTACAAACTCCACGAGATTGCGGCATCGCGTTTTGTATTACGATAGGTTACGAAAATGTGTATTATAATTTCTGAGTAGTGTTAGATGGATGCATATTGAGCATCTCATAATCAACCGGGTTTTTCGGCACACAAGGAACGAAAAAATTAAATGTCAAAGTAAGCTACAATAGTCTCCAAACGAAACACTTGCATTGACCACACTGACAAGTATTCGTATCTAAAATTTTATACCAGTTACGACAAAGAAATAGAAGTTTATACCTACCTCACGACTGAAATAAATGAAAATTACTCCGTTAGGAAATAGGTGAAACTAACAGAAACTCTAAATTTCTTTGAAGGAAACTTGAAAATGCCGGCGAATCTATTAAACGCGGCCAGTGGTGATTGGTCAGCTGAGCCGACGTCGAACATGCGTAGTTTTCCTCTTACCTACACGTGGCTCAATATGGCTGATCCACATTTGCACAGATGATGTAACTTTTTATTAACAAGCTGTCAAAATTCGATGATTTCTCGCCCAGTTTTATTTTTCCCTCAACCATTCAAATGTATGTCCTTAACCAGTTCTTAAATAAGTTTCTATATGGGAATCGATCGACCTATGAAGCTAAACAGGAAGTAAAAAAAAAAAATGTGCCTAACCGGAAGTGGACACATTTGATGTGAAAAGAGCTGATTCAAGTGTATGAACAACCACCATTCACGTAAATGTAGCTTTTTCACTTGTCATTAATGGTTCTAAAAATTTCTTTTACTTCAAAAAGCCATCCATGGTATCTAAAATCAGTACAAACTTAAATATCTCGCACTGCAAAGCGAGTTCAAACGAGTTGAAAGATTAGATCACCGTCAGACGATTGGTAGCAAGATGAATGGTGTCATTCACGATACACATAACTCGTTAAAAGGTCCTTCTTTTGCGAGTTTGCATTGGGTGAAAATAACTGAATAGCATTGCATTCTGAGTTAAAAACCTTATTTATTTTTTATTTGATATTTAATACTGGAGCCGCAGAAAACAAAGGTAAAATTTCCGCACAGCCCCATATTACATAATGCATTCAGTTCTTGGATAGAGAAAACAACGACAAAAACAATACATTGCCATTGGGAAAACAGATTTGTTTAACAATAGTATGGGGCTGTGCGGAAATTTTACCAAAACAACTCTCCTTCCTCAAAAGTGAGGTATGAAGTACATTTATTTTTATTATTATTACTAATATTATTATTGCTACTATTATTATTATTACTATTATTATTATTATTATTATTATTATTATTATCATAAATATTACCATTTAATACTAAGGATCTCAATGGGGTGATGGCTTTTACAGCTAACATTTGAAATTTTGGCCATTTTACAGTTATGGCTTACTTAAAATGACACATTTTAGAAAGAAAAATTCTTTACAGATAAATTTTTTTTTTTACAACCAAAGGGTAAAATTTGTCAATTTTTGCACCCAACAGCTAAATTTTTTGCTTTTTCATGGCTTACAGTTAACCCCGTTGAGACCCTGAATACTGGAAGCTGCAGAACACAAGTCTTCTTCCTCGATACTCCTTTCCAAGACCCTTTGATTAAACTTGTTTCCAGAGAAAAAGGGAACAATCAGAGTGTGGAGAAGAACAAGGAGCACGGGTGAATCCAGGATTGTTCATATGGGGGTGGGAGGGTCCAAAACTTTGATTAAAAAACACACACAGCTTTTTTTTCCTTTACACTAGAGCTTAAATAAGCTAAGAAATATATAGAGGAAGTAAATTTTCAATGCTTCAAGTTTTGGTTACAAAACTTGCACCTGGACCCCAGTACCCTTCTGCATAGTCCTCCCTGGATCTGCAGTGGGGTGAGTAGAGTAAGGAAAATGCGCAGGAATGATGTGATCCACCTAGCGTGTGTATGCAGGGTGCAAAAAAAAAAAAAGGAAAAAAACCAGTAAGGAAAGAATTGTTCAATAATATACAGTGGCAGATCTAGGGGAGGGACCTGGGGGGCACAGTCCCCCTCATTCTGGGTTAAAAAAAAAAGAGAATTGCAGAAGGAAGAAAAGCAGGCAGGGTGAGTGATAAATAAAAAATCAGGTTCCCCCCTCCCCCCTTAGCTAAAAGGTCTGGATCTGCCACTGATATAGCGGATATGTTTAAATTCAGTTTAGGTGTTCAGAGGATGAACCTGTGGGACTGGTAAACAGCAAAGATGACTGTGGCTTATTTATTTGATCAATTTGTTGTATTATTATTCAACATGCACATTTCATTCTTTTAAGCCATTGCATGTTTGATTATCTTTTGACTTGTTTGGATTTCTTTTTCTAGACTTTGCCTGAGAGGAACTCTATTACTACTACTTTGAATTCCATTTTAAACCAATATTACTTATTATACTTAGGCTATATCGAACGCATTTTTCTGATCCATAATTGTTACTTGTATAGTTACTACTTTGTAATGAGTTGAACCTTTGTGGTCTACCTATAAACTCCAGACTAACACACCAATCTCCACAAATTGCCTTTATTGCTCAGTTTATTGTTCTAGTTCACACAAACTTGTCCTCAAAATCTAACTATACTGTGACAATAAAACTACTGCAGGTCTTGATGGAGGCCACACTTTTAGAAACCATCAATTTCCGGGGTGCTGTAGAGACAAAAAAAACATCTACCTGTGTCATTTGCTTTACTCACATTTTTGCGAAAGATCTCAACTCTTTACCCTGTCCACAATATGTCAATGTCTGTGACATCCTTACATGGATCTACAATTTATTTTATATCATGCAAATAGAATAATATATATACACCTTTTCACAAATGCAATTTGAAAATATACATGAAATACATATCTTTTGTTTTCTCATCAAAAAGAGACACTTTTTGATTAAAAAAAAAACAAAAAGTGTATATATTTCACATATTTTTTCAAATTGCAACTTTTTTGAACACGGGTGTATACATATATGTATATATATATATATATGTGTGTGTGTGTTTTTGAAAACAGGTATATGTATATTATATATGTGTGTTTGAGTTGGAGAGTGCTCTTCACTTGTGGAGCTAAACAATTATTAATTGATAAGAAAAGGAGCAATTACAATATTGCATCACTGAACTGTTTTGAAAAGGCCTGGAACCTGCTGGTTCTCACTCATCAGGTGCATGGAACACTGACCAACTAAGGCTCCCTTTAAAGGCTGGTTGTTCAAGCATGTGTATTTTATATATATATATATATATATATATATATATAGTGTTATTCTTTATGTAATTTTTCATTTGTGATAAAAGTTTTCCTGCCTTGTCCTTAATTTAAGGAGGTTGTGCTACTCATATGTAATGCTGTGACAGTGTGGAATGATAAAACTACTGAGAAGTTGAGTTATTTGGGTAAGAGAGGCTTAAAACTTCGTAAAAGTTTGGATTTTGCAAAAAACAACTTTCAAGTAAAACGTGGTAACATCAGTTGGTTGGTTAATGGTGTATTTAGACAAGATATAGAAAATCATCTTGATTTTCAGTCGGGTCTTGTATGCAGTTTGGCTTAAATTGAATAATATCATTCGATTGTGCGGCCGTCGTTTACGGTATTTTTGTTCTTACCAAGTTGAGAAGCGTGCGTGACTGAAAGCGGCACTTCTGGCCCACACTACACTTATTGTCGTTGTTTGCCGCGTGTACCTCTCCACTCTTACACTCGGCATTTTTTTAAGTAAGCGCCTTCTGGTTCACTGCCGCTGCCACAGTCGGCTTGAGAAGGAAGATTACAAAACAACTTTTAGAATATGACAGCGATCAGAAACACAAGCCGTAGTATATATAATGTAGTACGTTGTACTTACCAACTACAAAAGACAAGACTCTTAAAAAATATCGATTTGAACCGCAATTTTTAAGACCCCCTTGTCTACAAGTTCGACTGTGACAAAGTTAGGGAATGTTTAATATTATTTAACTAAAATATTGTTCTGCTAACTTGTGCGGAAAATTTAATTTCACACATCATACAGCTGTTGGCTCCATGCTGTAAAATAATGAATTTCCTTGAACATGAAAGAATCCATGTGTATACAAAAAATTGTACCTTGCACATCATTGTATTTTAAAATTAACGAATTTAGGAAGTACAGAGCCACTTACTTGCTCGTTTGCGTAGACTGCTCTATGTGCCGTCAACTAGAGCAAATTCATCTTCCCTGACTATGTATGTTTGGCCAGAACACAAGCTACTTGGACAAGAACAAACACCAGAAGAATCTTCTCAATGCAAGTCATGTTGATCGCTGAAATGCCAAAACAAAAAAAGTTCAATTGAGAGGCACAAACGCTGCAGAAAATGCAAAAAAAAAAATTACATAATGCGCGAAATCGGAGAACGTCAGTCTTTACTTTTTCTCTTCTTCTTCTTCTTTGAGAATAAAAAATAATTGGAGTGTCAGATCCAAGCATGCTTAATTTCAAGTCTTGCACCTCTAAGTTATCACTCCAGCAACACGCTGGAAACGATATAAGAAACTGACTTTGCAGTACTTGGTATCTTTATGTCAGTTCTGTTATTTAAAGGTACGAATTACACAATTTTAACAACGCCTCTGCCGGCGAGTAGTAATTTGCATAACCTGATGATAATGTGATCAAACGTGACTCTCTAAAGGGTTATGCACAAACCTGCTTGCTCTTGCTTTCAAAGCTTCCTTTATAAATTGTTAAACTAAAATAACTGCCGTAACCTGGAAATAGAATTGGAAATGTACAACACAGCACGCTTACATATAATCATTATGATTAGCTGGTTGAACAATTTCCCCGCGCTCTAGAAATGCGAAACGGAACATTTCATTGAGATGGACTTACTGACCGAGGTTCTTTTTCAAAAATTAAAACACTTGTTGAGGTCACCTGGGAGTTACAATTTCCAAAGCCGACTTCAGATGACGAATCACTGAGGAGAAAGCTAGAACACTGAGGTATACTCTTAGCCGCTAAAATTGAGCTAGGTATGTAATGGAACTCAAAGGTTGAGACTATTCACGAAGCTTTTTGCATTCGGTGGTATGCAAAAAAAAAAAAATGATAATAATAAAATAATAATAATAATAATAATAATAATAATAATAATAACAATAGTAAGAGAGCGAGAAACAAAGAAAAGACTAAGTGGCATGGAAAAACTGTTTTGGCCGAATGCAAAGCGAGTTGCTGATTGTACTTATGTTGGTTATTTGTAAAGTGGACCTTGTTATCATGCAGTGAACTTACGGCTTCTCAGGAGCTTTGGACTGAGGAAGCTCAAACAGCTGAAATTACTCATTTGATATGCATCAAGGGAAAATGCTTCATTTCTTAGGTCTCGGCTTCTTTGAGGGGTTTTCGAAGGG